ATGAGAACACAATATAAATGTATTAAACAAATTTGATAACCATTCAGATACATTTTTAACACATAAATTTACCAGCAGAAGTTTGAGCAGGTGAAACTAAAGGTAGAAAAAGTTGTTATTTAAAGATATTTCAATTGCTGAGAAATGTGCACAAATTAAAAATTAATAGTTTTTAGACATACCAGTTGTTGCAGATGAACATGGAACTAAGGTTAAAAAGTTGTAATAAGAAAAATTGCAATTAATGAAAAATGCATACACAAGTATTAGTAAGAAGTTAAAATTTTTAAAATTTAATAATTGTAGAAGATGTACACAATCCTAAGATTAAAAAGTTGTAATAAAAAATTAATATAGCAAATGATGAATAATGTATACACATATAAAAAAGTAATATTATTAAGACATACCACTTGATGCAGAAGACGATAAAACTAAGGTAAAAAAGTTAATAAAAAACAAATAACAAATAATGCAATTGATGAGGATGTTCCATTGTATCAGATGAGGATGTTCCTCAGTTTAAAAAGTTTTAATAGAAAATAAATATTGCAATTGTTGAGAAATGCATACACATATTACACAGTAATAGTTTTTAAACTTACCACTTGTTGCAGTTAGAGTTAGAACTAAGGTTAAAAGATTGTTGTAAAAAATAAATATTGCATTGATAAGGAATGCATAACAGGTTTTTAGAACTTACCAACTGTACCAGATGAAGATGGTTCTAAAGTTAAAAAAGAAGTAAGACGCCACAAAAAAAATAATAAGTGTGACATTAAATATATTTACAGAATAAAAATTACTGTTTTTCAAAATTGATAACTATAGCAAGTGATAAAAGGAGAGATGATTAAACAAAATATGAGTTAAACCTTGACAAACATGTTTAAACTGTTATTACTATGATTCCTAACAGAAGTTATAATATACAAACTTACAAATGGTAGACCTTGTTGATTCAACTAAAGTTAACAAAAAAATTGTACAATAAAAAATAACAGTTTGTTATTGTCAAAAGTTCAAAAAATAAAAATTAAAGTATAAAGATTATATGAGTATAAACAAGAAGCTAAAATTAAGAATGGGTATATACTTATGTAAACAATAAACATATATAAATTAGTATACAAATAAAAAAAAGGTATTAGACAATAATAATTATATCTTATATTTATAAAAACTTTAGAAACATTGAGGTAATGCAAAAATATTATGGGAACTATACTTACGAAATCTCAAGAAATCTATAATAATAGTGCTAAGATCTAAACAAGAAGCAAATATAAGACATGCTTGTATGATTTAAATAATATTTAAAGGATGAAGTAGTAATACTACATACAATACAACTAGTATACAACAGGAAAATGATAAAAGATAATAAGTGTAATTTTTATATCATTTTTAAACTAAACGCTAAAAAATATGTTTGTTAAGAATAAATCAATATAAATTTGATTTGTAGACTTCTATTGAAATTAAAAAAAAGTAACAAATTATATAAATCATAAAATAATGTATTCTTAACAATGGATTAATACACAAATTAGTATTTTTAATACTTATTTGTGTATTAACAAACTTGTATACTTATATGGTATTTTAATGATACCTTTGAAATAATACTTTTATCTATTAATAAAATCAAAACAGTTTTAATCTAATACATTAATCTTTTTATACTTAAGATTATCTTACCAAGATAAACAAAAAGAGTAATGTTTTTAACATTTATGTTATTGTTTTAAAAATAGTTATCAATAATATACTTATGAAAAAAAAAATTTTCTTACTATCTGTTAAAGAATCTATGTACTTGTGCAACTCATTTTTTTTCATTCTATACTGTTATATAATAATAAAAATAAAAATTATGCAGAAAAAAAATTTTTTTTTTATGAACTGGCCCCCCTATCCGCCCCCGTATTTAAATAGTGTTCGCTGTTACCAAAAAAAAAATCATAAAAACAGAAATTAGGTACCAAAAGTGCTGCATTTAGTTAAATATCTGCTCCCTTTTTTTTTTGGCTAAAATTTGGCAGGCAAAAAGAAAATACATGTATAAAGTAGAATAACTAATAAAAAAAGCGGGCTCAATATTTCTTAGATACGAAATTAATGTGAGAACATCGACTAAATTTTCATTGAAAATTTTCAGCAAAAAAAATTATAAAAAAGTTAGGAAACCATACTTAAAAATAATATAATAATCAAGCTTCACCTTCTTTCAAAAAATATCCTATGTTTATATGTGTTTCTAAAAAGAAATACCTCAAAAAAACGTTTGCCTAAGGCAACTTATAAAAAGTGGTATATATAGAATAACACATAGTAAACTATGTTATTCTGTGTTATTCTGCTCCTTTTTTTTTGGTTGAAAATTGGCATATGCTTAGAAAATGCATGTAGAAAGATAAATCAATAATAAAAAAAGCGGGCTCAACATTTCTTCTACTATAAATTAATATGAAAACATATACTAAACTTTCAGGACCATAACAAACCGTGAAAAATTAGTAATTATACATTAAAAGCCACATAAAAATCAAGATTAACCCTTTTTCTTTTAGAAAAATATCTATGTTTATATATGTTTCTAAAAAGAAACACCACAAAAAAACGTTTGTCTAACGCTACCTAAAAAACAGTGAAAAAAACGTGGAACAAAATTTTAGCACAAAAATCGGCTCCGTAAAACGCGATTTCGCCGTACCTAATATCAGCCAAATTTAAAAGAAAGTTCAATCGTTTATCATTGTTTGATGAAAAAAAGCACAATATTTATCTCTAGTACAAATATCTTCATAAAGTCCTTTAACATTAACAATTTTCAAAAATTTGATAAAAATAAATAAAAACACTGTGGCGTCTTCAACATTTTTTATGGATAAATGAATTTTTATAGCAAGTACAGTCTCATCACAAAAAACCCCTAAACAAGTTGATACATTTTGATGTTCAATTGGTTTAGGAAAAACTGCTGTTTTATTAAGTTTAGACAGTTTCACAATAGCATCCTTTTCAAAAAGAAAAAGTTTTTTAAGATCTGACCATTTTGCAGTCCTTGAATAACCTTTGTAAGTAAAGCATAGTTCTTGCGATTGTTTTGTGAGCCAATTCTTGCGAATAGATTTTATTAAATGAACAAAGTCATACAAAAGGAAAATGTTATCATTAGTGCACCAAGTATTACGGAAATTGAACATTCCAAAAAACTGTTTATTTATTTTGTTATTGTCGGGAAGAATAGCAACAACAGAAACATTTTTTTATCGCTTTAATTTCTTGCACTGTTTGATCGTATTAAAAATTAGCATCTAAACCTTTTACTAGTAATGCTTTATACAAAAATTGTTTTCCACTAAATAAAGAACAAATTATTAAACCCAAAACTGTTTTTGCTAAGACTTGGGGATTTACAGATTTACCAAAAATGTTACCTTCTTGTAGTTTAACATAAATTTCATTAATAAGTAGAATAAACTGTCTTTGAGATACAATTTTAAAAAGCATTATCTTCAACATTTCTAACTTTAGATGTCAACTAAAGTTAGAAATGTTAGAGGTTGTCATCAAAGATATACTTGGTAGTTTGTAGTCATTACGTAATCGAGAGTAAAGAATTCTTGCCAATGAAAAGTACTCAAATACCCTAGCTATCATATCAGGAAAATACTTATTTTTACCAATAAACATTAATGATTTTATACTTAAGATCTATTCAATAATAATATTTTTCTTCCGATCGATTAGTAAAGAATTCAGATAGTGCTTTGCAGCATGGAGACGGCTAATACAGTCAATAATATTCATACGATTGTAAGAAAATGGTTTTATGGTGCACTTAACACCACAGTGATAGTTATCAAAGGATAAATCATTTTTTATTTTCAAAATAAACTTTAGAACACCCAAGTTGTTCAATATATCAGCAAATTGAAGATGTAAACAGTATTGATTGATACTAGATATTATTGAGTAGGAAAAAGACATAGTTTAAGACATTATTTTATTAAACAAATCTTCAAAGAAGAAATATTATTAGCTTTCACAAAAGCCTCCATTTCATCAGGAAAAGTACTTCTTAAAGATGGCAATTATTGAGTAGTTGGTCTTGGTGGTGCAAATGGAGTCGGAATTTGACTTGGATTTACACAAGAAAATACAAATGGATGCTTTGGTCTTAACTTCCCGTAAACTAAAACTTTTTCATAGTTTTTAGGCCAATGATCTTCACAAATAAAAGTATTAGGGTTATCTGGAATATTATCTTGGAAAATTATTCTTAAATAATAAGACTAAAATATCAAAATTATGATATTAGGTTTTACTTTAAAAAATGCAGAATCAGAAATGTCGCAGGTCAAACACTGCGATTCCTTGGTGAGAGAAATTTAGTCAGCGATTCCATTGATCTCTTTGAGTATTTTATTTCCAAGATTAAAAGCCTGCCTGAAATTGGAAAAATGCAACTTAAATTTCATTAAATTCAAGGCGTGTGAAACAGCTCCATATTTGTTAATTTTTAATTAATGGTCTGATTTTTTTCCGAAAGTTTACAATAATCTCTGCACTTCTCAATAGTCTAAATGTAAATAATTTCTAAATTAGAAATTTATAGATTTTGTTTTTGCAAAAAGCTATTTTAAAGTGAAGCAGTTTTATCTTTACGTTATTATTTTTTAACCTTTCATGGTTTTATAATATAAATATTTTATTCTCCAGCTTCACAGTTTTATTTATGGCTGCGGATATACGAAGCTCTCTAACATGATAGCAGGAGGAGAAACTTAGCTAATCTTGTATAAATTCCTTTTAAAAAGCCAGGGCTTGAAGTGGGTGAACTGCATAAAAAACCTTCCATTACTTGTAATGACGTTATTATAGAGCTAATGATATGTAAATGTCTATTTGCGCCGATTGTTTGCAAATACCCGTAAAAACTCAAAAAATGTAAAAATGTTTAACTTAAAAAGAATGGCGCAAGTATAAATAGTCATCTAAAATAAAAAATAAAAAACATAAATTCAGGAAAATATACCTTTGGAAATATTTTACGACACTCTGCGTATTAAAATTTGTTCATTAGGGTCAAATTGGGATGGGTTAAAGTACAACAACATACCAAATTAAACCAATTTTTTTTTAATAGTTTGAAGAGATAAAAGATTTATTTCATTTACCAACAAAACTCCCACGGTTTAGCAAATCAAAATTTTTTCTTAAATTTTAATTAATTATATAGTTGGTCCACAATCCTAAAATTCCTAAAATCTTGAAATTTCGATTTATTTGCGCAAAAGCTACAAACATCAATACTTTAACTTTTTGTGCTACTAAATTTACATTCATCTTTTATTGCTTCCATTCCACATGGTGTTTTTTCAGTTTTTTGCAGCATGAGTTTCTTCTTTTATATGAAGTTCGTACAATTGTTCAGTGAAAGCAAAATTATTAATGCCATTGTTACAGTCTTTTTTACAGTTTCTTTTCACAAAACCAATTTCTAATTATTTTTAACCGATGGCAAACATTATAAATTAAAAGCACTGGTTCTACATTCAATGAATGTTGAAAGTAACGTTAAAGATTTCTTATATCGATGCCAGTATCAAAAATCTTCATCATCAAAATGCCAGTATCAAAAATCATTATCAGATAAACTTGCAACTGTACCATGAAAAGTTAACTTGCAACTGTACCATCAAAAGTTAACTTGCAACTGTACCATCAAAAGATAACTTGCAACTGTACCATCAAAAGTTAACTTGCAACTGTACCATCAAAAGTTAACTTGCAACTGTACCATCAAAAGTTAACTTGCAACTGTACCATCAAAAGATAACTTGCAACTGTACCATCAAAAGTTAACTTGCAACTGTACCATCAAAAGTTAACTTGAAACTGTACCATGAACAGTTAACTTGCAACTGTACCATGAAATCGTAACTTGCAACTGTACCATCAAAAGTTAACTTGCAACTGTACCATCAAAAGTTAACTTGCAACTGAACCATCAAAAGTTAACTTGCAACTGAACCATCAAAAGTTAACTTAAAACTGAACCATAAAAAGTTCAAAATGAAACTAAATCTCTAGAGTTATGATCTTTAATAAAAAAATTAGAAATAATATTTCTGCCTCCTTTTCTCAATTATTTACAATATTTTATACGTTTTCTGACTGAATAGGTAAATTGAAATATATTTAAAATAAAGGCTTAATGACAATATTGAAAATTTTAAACCAAAGATTGAATGTAATTAAAAAGCAAACAAAGCAAATATTTTCAAGTTAAGATAAAACTAGTTTTTGCAAACAAGCAATACAAGAAATCTCAAAATCAAATAAATAAATTTAAAAATTATTCAAATTAAATAAATAAAATGAAATATTTAAAAAATCAAACAAGCAAAGATGCAATGCCAAACATTACATTTTTTTTAATTTAAAACGCATTGAAGCGCATTGAGCTGTAAATATTCGTTGAACAACTTCAAATCCCGATTCGTCAAAGTTCTCAATTTTATCAGGGTCGTCAAACTCGTTGATATCAATTCTTTTTTTTTTTCAAACATTCTTCGATTTCTTTAAACCAATTTATGACATGAAATTCGGTGGTTTTTCGAACCAGCTTTTCCGGGAAATGTTGTTATTTGCTTGCCAATGACTGGATGTTGGGCTAAATACCTTAAAGTCCAATATCTTAGAGAAAATGTACCTTTGATATCTGATTTTAGCAACATAATTAGAAACAATCTTAGCTAATCTTGTCTCAGCGACAGGAAATACAATTTTTGCAAGGTAAA